AAATCCATACATTGTTAGTCGAAAAAGATTTATTATCAACCGTTGTAGATACAATTTCAGAATTATTAAAGCAATACTTGGGTAAATCTGATGATTCAATTCAAATTATTTTACCAAATACAACAACCACTTCCACGACTACTACTAGCGAAGCTTCAAAAGATGATTCAGTTTTAACAAGTGCTACTGTGCAAAAAGATTCAATTCTATCCTTTATTTCAAGTTTATTGGTTATCTCTTTTGATCTTTATAAAAAGCCATCAACTAAACCAGCCAATTATGATTATGAAGTTGAAGAAAAGAAACAAAAAGAAATTGATGATAACATCAGAAACGAAGAGATTCCAAAGATTTCATATAAACTTTTAGATATTTGTATTGCATTATTGAAACCCGCTTCTTCAACTATTGATGGTCCACTTTTAAGACTTTTAACAGAATTAACAAAGAATTTCACTCTTGCCACCTACTTCTTGAAGAATCAAGGTTTACAATTACTTTTATCAAAGAACACTAATATAACATCAAGTAAAGAAATAGTTACAAATGTTTCATTAATCGTTAAGCATATGTTGGAGGATAGAAAGACATTCTTTAATACTGTTCAAATTGATATACAACATATTATTCAAAACAATAGAGTCCAAAAAGGTGCACCACCAAAGAATATTCTTGGGGGTCTTTCTAAATTCGTCTCAAAGAATCCAACACTCTTCTTAAAGGCCTGCACTGAAATTTGTCGTATTCATACCTCATCAAATCTAATTTATCTTACACCAACTGCAAGTGAAACAATAGAAAAGAATACTGGCGATATTAAAGATTTCCCACACTTTGAACAAATTTCCCTCATTTTAATCAAAGCTTTGTTTTCTAAAGACGAAGCAATTATTCAATCTTCAAAAGAGGAGAAGTCCAAAAAACCAAAAGGCTCACCACCAACAAATATCTCTAATGTTGATGAAAAACTCCTTCTTGCCCTTGGTAAACCAAATATCTTAAAGCTATTAGAGGAAATTTTACTTCAATACCCAATGTTCCAAAAAACAGTTTTAAGTTATCAAGGTGTTGACTTGATTCAATATGTTATTGAGCATTTCCTTCCATGTTCAACTGCATCACCAGAAGATAAATCAAGAGGTGATTACTTTGGCAGTTCACACCAATCCGCTTCAAGATTTTTATTAGCCCTTTGTGCCACTCAAGAAGGTCGTGAAAAAGTATTTGGTCAATTAAGTGAGCAACTCAAAAGTTCAATTTCTGAATTTTCAGTATCACATTCAAATGTTCAAAATAAAAAGACTCAACAAAACAAAATGCTTTCAATTTCACATTTCATAAATTTGATTTTAAATTTTGCCCCACATTCACTTCAAACAGAATTTTATCAATTACTTTTAAATGGAGATATGGTTAATCTTTTATTGGAGGTTTTAAATCTTGTAGATATGAGCAATTCTCGTGCCTCAGAAACTGTCAACTCATTACTTCAAACCATTGGTCACCTAACCAAGTTTTCATCATTACCAAAACCAACACCAGAAGAAGATGCCGCCAAAATCAATATCTTCTCTCTTCCATATAACGTTTACGAGGGCTATCTAAAAAACAGCCGAGATTTACAATTCAATGTGAATTTCTCACACTTTACTGCCATTGATGAAATGGGTAACCCATTAACAATATCACAGGGAAACCTTATTGATTCTGATATCGAAATCGAAGAAGATAGCGATGACTCTGATCTTTCTGATTCCTCACTTTCCGACGATGAAGAACTAATCGAAATCGAACCGGGCGTTAATGTCATGATGAACGAAGGTGAAGAAATTGAAGATGGTGTTGAGGATGACTTTGAAGAAGAGGAAGAAGAAGAAGAGGATGACGATAGCCTCGAAATTGAGGAAGAGGAAGAAGAAGAAGAAGAAGAGGAGGAGGAAGAAGAGGAAGAAGAAGAGGAGGAAGAAGAAGAAGAAGAAGAAGATGGTGATGAACCAAGAGTTGGCAGAGTTGAGGACCTTCTTAGACCTAATAATCCATTCGGCGGTCGTCTCCGTGCGCCACAACGTTTCTATTTCTCAAACAATCCTCCATTATTAAATATAATTAATCACCAAGTAAATGATGACGGTCAAGAGGTCAGAGGGTTCCTTGGTGATACTCTCGAAAGAAATCTTTCAAACTTTTTAGCTTCCATCGGTCAAGCAGAGAATAATGCTGGTCGTATTGATGATTTAATCAGAATGAATACCAATCAGCTTAACAGAAATATTGAAAGATTCGAGCAAATGCTAATGAATTTCGATATTCAACAATTAAATAATCTTCGTACAAACAGAGTTAGACTTGGTAGAGATGGTACTTTATATTCAATTGAAGGACGTCAAGCTATTAAAAATGATATTGACGAATCTATTTCACTAGCTCAGTCTTACGAATCAGTTTTAATTAAACTATTATCTAAAATTACAAAGGAGGAAGAGGCAATCCAAAGAGCCAAAGAAAAGAAAGAAAAGGAAGAAAAAGAACGTTTAGAAAAGGAGGAAAAGGAGCGTTTGGACAAAGAAGAAAAAGAACGTTTGGACAAAGAAGAAAAGGAACGTTTGGAGAAAGAAGAAAAAGAACGTTTGGAGAAAGAAGAAAAAGAAAATTTGGAAAAAGAAAAAGAAGAAAGGGAAAGACAAAGTGAAACTCCAAACTCTACTGGTTCAAATTCAAATACAGCTCCAACTACCTCAACTGCTAGTCCACTCTTAACACCTACTGATAGAAGTCCATTAACTCAAAGCGGTGAGCAAAGACAGGATGTTGATCAACAGCCAATTGATGGTCCATTAGAAACAACAACAACCAGCACTACAACTAGCACATCATCTCCATCAACAACCACCACCACTACATCCACCACTACGACAACTACTTCAAATAATAATAATGCAAGTGGTAGCTCACCAAGCAACCCACCTGTTCCAAGAAGTGTTGATTTAGGTATTGATCCAACATTTTTATCAGCCCTTCCACCAGAGTTAAGAGCTGAGGTTTTATCAACACAACTCACAACCATTCATCAAAACGAAGCAGGTAATGGCCCAATTACAATTAGTCAAGATTTCCTATCAGCTCTCCCAGTTGAGATTCAAAATGAAGTTTTGGAACAAGAAAGAATTATTTCTGAACGTAGAGCTGCACAAATTAGACAAGCTGCCCCAGTTGATCCTAATTTAGTTCAAGATATGGACAATGCTTCATTTTTGGCTACACTTCCACCAGATCTCAGAGAAGAAGTTCTATTAACTCAACCAGAAGCATTCCTTCAAACTCTTCCACCAGAGCTCCACGCCGAAGCCATTAGACTTCGTGAAACCAATCCAGTTAGAATTGATCACAGAGCCATCCCAGAAAGAATTCCATCTCCACGTACAATACATAGAATCATCAAAGAGGCACCAAAACCAAAGAAAATTAATCAATCTGGTTGTGTTGTTAAAAAAGAAAATTTACTCCCATTAATTAAAACTTTGTATTTAGATCAACAAATCAGCAAACAGCAGCTTAGTAATATTTTTGCTCAAATCAGCACTTTCTCCGAGAATAGAGAGCAATTATTAACCTATCTTTTACAAATTTTAACCTGCTATGATATACTTCGTCAAAACCATCCCCAAGACTCCAAAGTTACAGACTCTGATAGATTTTCACCAATTGAAGACCCATGCCATCAACTATTGAAATATAAATCATTTAGATTCTTTGAAGTATCCACCCACCCTCCATTACAAGTTATTAAAAAGATTTTAGATATTCTCTTTTTATTAACATTTGGTAATCAATTTACTATTCAATGGATACTTCAACCACAATTCTTGATACCAAGAGTAGAATCACCACACGGTAAAGAATCAATGGATAGTCCTTCCGAATCTGATAAGGTTATTCCATTATGGAAACTTTGCAGCTCTTTAAATAACAATGAAGTTTTTTCAAAGCCATCCCATATTGATCGTCTTGTTTCTATTCTTTTGGCTGTTGTCGATAGCAATACAGTTATTAGTAATGGTGCCCTAAATAGCTCAAATAGCTCAGTATTTAGCGCCATTACAGAAAAACCAAAGATTCCAGTTTTCCCATCCCAATATGTCGAGGCACTTGTCCAAGCCTTAATGAATATTTACAATCCAAAGATTAGTCAACTCTTGGTTACACTAGCTTTTAGCTCTGAAGATAATAAAAAAATTGTTCTTGATCAACTAAACCAAAATTTAAAGAGATTAACAAAAGATGTTATTTCAAATTTGGAAAATATGAAAAAGATTTTCAAAGACTCACAAATATCTCCTCTTCTTTATATCCCAAATTCGACAAAAGAAACAAATTTCCTTCATATTTTACAAACTATTAATTCGATTTTAAATCCAAAACCAACAACAACAACCAATAATACTAATCAAATATCTTCACCAGCTGTTAATCAACCAAACTCTGCTCAATCTCCACAAGTTAATTCTTCTTTAACATCATCATCATCTAACGTTGCTTTAGATTCATCTTCATCCTCAACAACTACAACAACATCAAATAACAATAATACTACCTCAACCACAACAACAACTACCACAACCTCATCAAGCCCAACCACAAACCCAACAACAAACTCTTCAACAGACTCAAACTCATCACCTTCAACCACCTCAACCACAACAACTACAACAACAACCACCACCAATAATCTTGGTTCATCTACAAACAGTGAAGATGGTTCAAATAAAAAAATCACTTCTAAAAAAGAAACTCAAGTATCATTAAATGACTACTTTAGCAATCACCACGAATTGGATCAGCTTTGGAGCTCAATCAAGTCATTCCTTACATTCTTTAGCACAGATAAACAACAACAAGAGCAACAACAAAAACAACAAGAACCAGTTACAAAAGAAAAACTTACAAGTAAAAAGAAAAGTGGTCCATTACCAATGACATCCTTACTTTTACCTTTAGTTGAAATGTATTTCCTCGTAAACTCACCAACATCAGATCAACTCCAAAACAATACTGTTCCATCATCACCTTCTCTTGCAAGTCTTAAACTTTCATCATCACATGGTGGTAGTCTTCCAGCAAGTCTTAGCAATGGTAATTTAGCCGGAACCCCACCAACAATTGACTATAATACCTCGAGATTCTTTGAATTTGTTGAACAAAACAAGAGTTTAATCAACGATCTCATAAGACAAGACAGTAATTTATTAACAGGTTCACTTTCTGTTTTAGCCAAAGTTCCAAAATTCTTAGATTTCGATAACAAGAGAACCTATTTTAGAGCATACTTTAATAGTAAAAAAGAAAGAGTTGGCACTATTCGTCTTAAAGTACGTAGAAATCACATCTTTGAAGATTCATACAATCAACTTAGAATGCGTTCTCCAGAAGAACTCAAGGGTAAATTAAATATTCAATTCTCTGGAGAAGAAGGTCTTGATGCTGGTGGTTTACTTCGTGAATGGTATTTAGTATTATCGAGAGAGATGTTCAATCCAAACTATGCTCTCTTCAAAACATCTGCCTCCGATAATGTAACTTTCCAACCAAATCCAGAATCATATATTAATCCAGATCATTTATCATATTTCAAATTTATTGGTAGAATTATTGGTAAAGCTTTGTACGATGGAATGATGTTAGATGCTTTCTTCACAAGAAGTTTCTATAAGCACATGCTTGGTCTCACAATTAATGTTAATGATATGGAAGCCATCGATCCAACCTATCACAAAAATCTTTTATGGATTCTCGATAACGATATTACCAATGTATTAGATCTTACATTCTCCACAGAGATTGATATCTTTGACTCTACCAAAGTTATAGAATTAAAACCTGGTGGTGCTAATATTCCAGTAACTGAAGATAACAAGTTAGAATATGTTCGTTTAGTTGCTTCTGTTAGAATGACAAACTCTATCAAAGATCAAATCAATAGTTTCCTTGAAGGTTTCCACGAACTAATTCCAAAATCACTTATTGGTATTTTCACTGAAATGGAATTAGAATTATTAATTAGTGGTCTCCCAGAAATCGATATCGATGATCTTAGAGCAAACACCGAATACAATGGTTATACTGCCGATAGTCCACAAATTATTTGGTTCTGGAACACAGTCTCCAATTTTTCAAACGAAGAAAAAGCTTCACTTTTACAATTTGTCACTGGTACTAGTAAAGTTCCTTTGGACGGTTTTAAATCTCTTGGTGGTATGGGAGGTTTACAAAAATTCCAAATTCATAGACTTCGTGGTAGTCCAACCAGACTCCCAACTGCTCATACATGTTTCAATCAAATAGATATTCCAGAATATGAATCTCAAGACCAATTAAAAAAATTCTTAAAGTTAGCTATTACCGAAAGTAATGAAGGTTTTGGTTTCATATAAGATCAAAATTACACAAAATAAATAAAAATTGTATATTAAATTTTAATAACTTTTAAAACTATAGTTTTTTTAATAATTATTAATATATATTTTAATTGTTTATTTTTTATTTTTTTTTTAAAAGGATTTTATTTTATATATTTTTTTTTATTTTTAAAAGTGTCGTTGTTTCTTTGATTTATTTATTTAAACATAATTGATATTTTATAATTTAATTGAACCATCTTTTTCTAAGGTAGCTTTAATTTTAGTATCTAACCATTCACCATTAGAAACGTGATAGCCTTTGGTTTTTAAAACACCACCAACAACTTTGGCTTCAACATTTGGTAAAAGTTTAACATTTGATGATGAAACAGCAAAACCTAAAATTTGATTTGAATTTACTGGAATATTAAAAGTTTGAGTTTTACATTTTGATTCGAATTGTTTAAGTAATGATGCATCATATTCGCCAACTAAATAAAAAAAAAAGAACCATATTAGTATTCAATATCTTTGACTTTAAATTTTACATATGTTTACATACCAATGACTAATTTATTTAATTTTAATGATTCAACTTTTGAAAACTCTGTGCTGTTAACTAAAGTGTTAAAGTTTGAACCAGAAATTAAGAGAACTTCACATTTATCTTGAGTGATTGTGTTAATAATAGTAGTTGGATTAATATTTGAAATTTGGGCAACGAATGCACCTCTGAGTAAACATGCTAAATCTGTTAAAATAAAAATTATTAGTTTGTGTCAATGAGAAAAAAGAAAATTCTTTTTGGTGATTCAACTTACTGAAAATTGTTGAAAGACTTTCAGTTGATGGGATTGCTAATGAAAATCTTTGTCTTGGTTTAATATCAAAGAATTCACCTAAGGCATCAGCAGTATTTAAAACTGATTTTTGGGTGAATGAAACATATTGATCATTAATTGGGTATGAAACTGAAACTTGGTTATTTGAAAGATCACCATATGGGAAATCTTTGCTGTCTAAGATAATATCTTTTAATAAACTAATACCTGGTTCGTCCTTATTGGCCATAGAGAAAATATGTTTTAATTGTGGGTATCTTTCATCTCTAAAATATTCACCTGTATGAACTATAATTTTGGTTGTTAAATAAAAAAATATTAATAATTATCTAAAACAATAGTTTTATAACTAAATTATTATTTACTTCTATTTAAATTTGGGAAAAATTCAAGGGCACCTTCGACCATGTTATTTTCCATATCACCCATAATGAGTGAATTTGCTTTTTTCTTTTGTAAATGAGCTCCAATTTCTGAAAAAGTTGATGATGCTGGGAGTGTTACATAAGTTAAACCAGCAGTGGTTGCACCTAAATAAGTTAAAGTCTATAAATGTATGTAAATTAAATTATTAGAAATTTTATGTTGGTATTGGTTATTACTATAACTGAATATAGAGATATCACTGTAGTTGAAATCTGAAAATATATATATAGTTTGATATTACATTATTGATACCTTCTGAATTTGAAACAACAACTTGATCTTTTTTAATATTATGTTCAGCAAAACCATTGGCTAAACCTTTAACATTGTGCTATATGATATTTTTAATTAAAAATGATTAGTTTTTAAATTCTATTTTACTATGACTACTATTATTAAAACTTACAAGCATTTCATCATAAGTTAAAGTGTAATTTTCGTGATCTGGAATTGATAAAGCATCATAATATCCAAAAGTATTACAGGCATTCTTTAATCTGTTTGCAATAGTTTCATTATGTTCAACATTGAATTTACCTGGTTGAACAAATGAGGAATAACTTCTAACTAAAACACTATTTATTTTAATGAAGAAGATCAATTAGATTTCGTATTCGTATTAACATTGTTTATGTGTGTTTTATTCTTTTTACTAAAATTATTGATATTGTTATTTTTTAAAATTTTGATTGCTATGATATATGATCCAATCACCTACCTTTTAATGTTATTTGATCTATTTAACATTTTATTTATGATTTTAAATCAACTGTTTTATGCACACAGTTTCTATGAGTGATGAAAAATTAATAAAAAATAAAAAAAATTTAAAAAAAAAAAAAAAAAATTTTTATTATTTTTTTTTTATTTTTTTTTATTTTTTTTTTTTTATTTTTTAAAATTATTTTTTTTCATTCAAAAAATTTGATTTTTTTACCTCTCAAAGAACTTCAATTTTATAAATAATTATTTGTTTAGATATTAAACATATACTTTATAGATTATTAAAAATAAATTAAATTTAGAATATAAAAAATACATTGTTTTCTATATTTTAAAAATATTAATATAATTATACACCAGGCAAAATAAAAATAAAATTTAAAAAAAAAATAAAAATAAAAAATAAATGTCAGATAGTGCAACAATAAATACAGAGGTAATAATCGACTCCAATACATCCAATATAACACCACAATTTACAAAAAGAAAAAGTCAACTTTCAAAAAGGTTTAGAGTGGATAACGAGGAAGATAGAAGGCTTTTAAAAGAAAAAGTTGTAAATTCAAGATTAGAGCAATTAGAAAATGATAATGAACAATCAATAAACATAAATGAAGACAATGACGACGACTATCAAGAAGAGGAAGAGGATTTAGTATATACAACACCTGTAAATAAAAGAAGACAAAGTATAGCAAGAGAAAAGAAAAAAAATGAAAAAAAATCAATGAATTTAAATTTTAATGAAGTTTTAGAAAAATCTGTAGGTTAACATTAGTAATTTATTCCCAACTATTATTAACTCTTACTAACAACTCATTTAGTATTTGGAGACCTATCCAGATCATGTACCCACATATATAAGTGTTCAATCAAAACCCTCGTCATTTCCACAAAGACACTTTTGTTCGATATGCGGTTATATTGGATCGTATACCTGTAAACAATGTTCGAGTAGATATTGCTGCGAAAAATGTTATGGTGTACATAGTGAAACAAGATGCAAGAGTTCAGTTTATTATTAAAATCAATATATGTATATCTTTCTGTAAATATAAAAACAAATAAATTTAAAAAAGGACAAATCCTTTTTCTTTTTTTTTTTTTCTTTTTTTTTTTCTTTTTTTTTGATTTAAAAAAAATGTAAAAATATAATAAATTAACTATAATAATAATATAAATGAATTATTATTATTATAATATCTTTATCTTTATATTTATTCGATTTTATGTATTTTTTTATTTTTCTTTTTTTTTTAATTTTACACAACCTCTTTACCTTTGGTGACACCGCCTGATAATGAAGAGTATTGACTTGTGTTATCTTCTTTAATTTTTTTATTTTTTATACTTTGAAGATATTCGCTTAATTCTTTTGATGGTTGGTCAGAAGAGAGTGCATTGGAGGAGGTTTGTTGTGGTAATGATGGATCGTTTATATATATATTTAAATTTGGGTTTGAGGATTGAAGTATTTCAATACAATGTGTAAGTTTTTCTATAGTATCGTTTTGTGACTCTATTTTTTCTTCTAAACTTTTAAAACCATTTTGTATTTTCTCTTCTTTTTTCTTATCTTTTTCTGCAGATCTTGAATTTTCATATACCAAAAGACCCATTGCAACTGATAATAAAAATGCTTCGCTAACCATCTCTGTACCTAAATCAATAGCTGCATTAACATTTAATTCTGTTACTCTTCTAGAGTTATCACCTGTAAATCTTGATAATCTAATTTCTAAAATTATAATAACAATAATCATAATTATTTATTAGAATTACCAATATGTTTTTTTTTTTGATATTAATAAACCACCTACCTAGTTTATGCCAAACTCTTGCCATTCTAACAACTCTGTCATGAAAAGCAGGTGATTTGGATGCTGCTGCTTTAATTTGCTTTGAAAAAGGTTTTGCTAAACTTTTAATAAATAATGAACCAAGTTTTAACATAGGCAATACCATTTTTAGTTATTTTATTTTACCCCCAAAAGTATAAGATATTTTACACTAATGCTATAAATATTATTATTAATTTATTTTTAAAAAGTCCTAAATTTAATTAAAATAAAAAAAAAAATCGATTAATTTAATTAAAAGTTTAAATCACACCCTTTAAATGTTTTTTATGATAAAAAAAAAATGAAAAAAAAATTTTAAATTTAAAAAAAAAAAAAAAAATTTTTTAAAATTAAAAAAAAAATTAGCTAATGATTATTTTTTAGTTTTAAACTATGAATAATAATAATAACAATAATATTAATAGTAACATTAATAGCAATGTAAATAGATATATACCAATTTTAAATTTAGATCAAATAGAAAAAGAAATAAAAAATAATTTTAAAATAAATTTTAATAATAATACCGACATAAATAAAGAGGAATGGGATGACTTTAATTTAAAGTTTAAAAGGGTGGTTTTTTTTGTAAAAAGAGTATGTGAACTATTATCATTGTCATCTTTAGCCTATTTTCACACAATAATTCTTTTTAGAAGATTCATATCAAAAGTACCTTTAAAAGATTATAATTTTTATGTATGTATAAAGTAATCAATTTCAGTCCTATTTAATCTATTAATTTTTTTTTTTTTTCAGTTAGTAGCAATGTCATGTATTTTAATTTGTGTAAAAGTAAATCCATCATCAATAATAGCAATGAAAGTTCGGGATATTTTAAATATTTCATATTATATACTAACAAATGAAAAATTACTAATTAATGATGTATGCATAGGATTGATATTATATTAATTTTATATATTGATAACTATTAACGCCCATTAAAACTATTTTAGGATTACTACAATTTTAAGGATAATGTAATAGATATGGAAAAAAAGGTTTTAATTACATTAGAATTTAATATTTCAATATCGGTAGATAACAGCATTGGTGTCAAACTTCCCCATTCATATTTATTTCACTTTTTATTATTTTTAGATTTCGAAAAAGACCATTTAGTATCTCAAATATCATTAAATTTTTTAAATGATAGTTTATTAATTTTGTTTATTCAATCACCCTATTTCCAACCAGAAGAAATTGCATTATATTCAATTTTCCTATCATTAGAGTTTACAAAAAATGAAGGTTTAAAAATAGACAGAGCCCAACTATATAGTTTACTTGGGTTAACCAATTCCAATAATAATAACAATGGATACAATAATAACGATATTGATAATAAATATAACAGTAAGATATTTAAAATTAAAAATTATTAAACAAAAAAATAGATATTAATAAATATTTTTTTTTTCGATCATTTTTTTATTTGCAGTTTTCAAAAACTATTTAAATAATTTATATTTAGAAATTAAATTTAGCCCACCCACGATTACAACAAATAACGAAAACAATAATTTAACAAATGATATAAATAATAGTTTAAATATAATACACAACACAGGGTCAGAATTGATCCAAAATTTCTTTAAAAAATAAACGTAATATATAGATACTATCTACTTTAAGAGCGGTTGGGATCGAAAAAAATTAGATTAAAAAAACTTTTTTTATTTTTTTTTTTATTTTTTATAATTTTTTTTTTATTTTTTGTTTAAAATTTTTTTATGTTAATTATTTTATTAGTTTCAATTGTTTATAATAATTTATAATATAATAAAAATTATATAACATTATAATAGTTCTATTTTTCAACATTGTAATTTTATTTTAATTTTTATTTTTTTTTTATTATATATTTTTATTTTGTGTGTTTTGTGGTGCAGTATTTTTAATTTATTTTAAATTTAATAATTATTTATTTTTATTTTTTCATTAAAATAAATACATTAATAATATAACTATATATAAATATAACATAATATAATATAATAATAATATATAATATAAATAATAATATAAAATGGGTTGTTGTTGTTCAAAAAATAAAAAATATCATGGAGATGATGGATTAGAAAATAGACCACCACCAAAAAATAACAATAATGATAAAAGAAAAAACAATACAATAAGAAGGGGTAAAGATTCACTAGCTTTACAACAAAATAATCCAACATCATTATTTGAAATAACAGATTTATCATTAAAGGGTGATATTATGTCAGCACTTGAAGAACAATCAAATGATTCAGATCTTTTAGCTCAATATGGTGTCATTTTAGCACTTGAAAATAAGAATAAAGAAGCAGAAATAGCATTTAGAAAAGCAGTCGATGCTGATAGTTTAAATTCAAGAGCATGGCAAGCATATGCAGAATTTTTAGAAAAAAGTAAGAACCCTAAAAAAGCAAAAGAAGTTTATGGTGAAGCCTACAAGCATGCTGCACCAAAGATTGCTTTGGATGAAGATGACTCAAGTCTACTTTTAAGCTATGCCATGTATATCCAAAAATCTGGCGATCTTGATAAAGCTGAGAAATTATATAAGCGTATTGTAACATCTGGTCCACAAATCCCAGAGGCTTTTGGTCGTTATGGTGTATTTTTATTAGAGGTTAGAAAAGATGTCGAAAAAGCAAATACCTATCTCAAACAAGCCGCTGATATTAACCCACCCTCCGAACTTTGGTGCACAAAATATGCTGCCTTCTTAAGAGAACATAAAAAAAATGATCAACAAGCTTCAGAATACCAAAAAAGAACTTCATTATATGTAAAATAAAATAATATAATAAAAAATAATGTATATAGAGCCAATAAAAGATAAAAGTTATTTATTCTTTTAAGATTTAAATTAAATCTAAATTTAATATTAAATATCCATTTTTTTCTTTTTTTTCTTTTTTTTTCTTTTTTTTTTATTTTTTTTTTTTTTTTTGATCAAAATGTGTTTTTGAAATTTTTTTTTTTTTTATAATTTTAATTAAAATAAGGTAATGAAAAATATCATTTTTTTTAAATCACCCAAATTAAATCAAGAAAATGAAATAGATGATAAATATAACGATGTAATATCCTTATTCTAGCAACTACTTTCTTATATTTAAAGATTTATTAATAGATTTTATTTTAGTTATTTAAAAATGATGGATTTAATACAGAGTTTATTAAAGTTTTAAAAATAACAAATAGTCATGATGGTTTAAACTCATTTGTAAATCATTGTAGTGTCAATAATAATAATTGTAGAAATAGTTTTTTTGGTTTGATATTTACAAGCAGCAATTCAATTAAATCTTTAGAAAGCTATATATTAGAATCATATAATAACAATAATGATAGTGAAAATGATAAAAATGAAAAAATACTTGATTTTTTTAATAAATATTTAAATAATAAATATATTTATATTGTTGGGGAAACTAGTTCTCAACTATTTAAATCATGTTTTTCAATAGTGGCAAACGATAATAGAATAAAATCAGAATCAAATGCAATTAATCTATCCCAACGTATTAAAGAAGACTATGACACCAATAAAGACAAATCTCTACAATTTTTATATTTTTGTGGAAATAATAGAAGAGACGAATTACCAAATTATTTAAAGGAAAACTCAATTCAATGTAACGAAATAATAGTTTATAACTCTGAAACATTCGATGATAGTTTAAATAGTATTAAAGAGTTGTATCGTAGAATTAAAATAAATAAAGAACAGAATTGTTGGTGTGTATTTTTTAGCCCATCAGGTGTGGAATATATATTGGATATAATTGGTCAACTATCAAATAATATAGAAAATAAAAAATTAGATTATAACAAAGAAACTGCATCGTTTTGGGATAATATTAAAATTGTGGCCATTGGTAAAACAACTGAAACCTCTTTAAAGAAAAATAATATAAGGGTGGATATTGTTTCACCGTTACCAAATGCCCAGAGTCTTTTTAATTCGATTAAAGACTTTATAGATAAATAAAACAAATAAATAAAATATTTAATTTGGTTATGTATATTTTTTTATATTATTTTTAATTTTTTATTTTTTTTAAATATTTTTTTTTTTTAGTTTTTTGATTACTTTCTTTTTGGAAAAAAGATTATTTATATACCATTACTATGATTATTATTATTACCATAAAATTTCTTATTATTTATATTATTATTATTTATCTAATTTTAAAATTTATTGAACATATGAATCAACTTCAGAATTATAAAAGAAACCTTTTTCAACTAATTCTGGAATTGATGATTCGAGGGCAAGTACATTTTTGAAACCTTTTTTTTGAAGAATAAGAGCACCAGCACAAGCTTGTGGCCAACCTCTTTCTTTTTCACCATAAACAACAACTAAAGTATTTTTATCTAAATCTTTGCATGATTCTTCGAGTTTTTCAACTGGATGATTGACAGCACCAACAATTGATTCTTTTTGGAAGTTTTCTACTGATCTAACATCTAAAAAGTAATAGTCGAAACCTCTTGATGTAATTCTGAAAAAACCTTTTGCTGCAACTCTTGGGATACCTTCATATTCTGGATAATAAACTGATCTAATTTTATCTGGACGTCTCTTTGGTACTTTTGGTGGAGTTGCTCTTTTATTTGGAGCAGCAACACCAACTACTCTTTCAACAATGTGTGGTTCAGCAACAGTGGTGTTGTTTGATCCGCTAGTTGAATAGTTGTTACATAAAACTAATGTACCTTTTATGTTGTTTAATTTATTACTATTATTTAAAATTGTTGGTAAATTTTTGCTCTAAATAAAAAAAATAAAAGTTAAAATTAATTCTTACTGATGTGATTGACCATAGCTTTTAATTATTATTGAGGTAGTTAATTTTTTTATTATAATAGGTGATTTTGATGATTATAAAAAAAAAGGTTTCCAATTGTCAAACTTTAATAAAAACCCTAATCTGTAATATGTAGTGTGGTATTTCTATGCTAGATTATTTCCAATTGAAACTTACTAAAACTCTAAACATTTTTTAATTTGATGTTTCCCAAAGAAAAAAACTTTGTATTAAATAAAATCAATGAAAAAAGAAAAAAAAAAAAAAAAAATTTTAAAAAATTAAAAAAAATAAAAAAAATTTTTAAAAAAAATAAAAAAAATTTTTAAAAAAAATAAAAAAAAAATAAACAAATTTTTTAAAAAAAAAAAAAAAAAAAAAAAGAAATAATGATAAAAGGAAATAATAGAAAATGATTGTTTTTTTTGTTTGGTTTTATACTAAAATTTTTTGCGTTTTAATTTTATTATAACTTGAATTTATATTTTAAGCCAATTAAGAACGTCATTCTTTAGTTTCAGCAATTGAGGTTTTTAAAGAAGTTTTGACATCATAGTCATCAGTTCTTCTTTCATCAGATGATGACCACTGAATACTTGTGTGATCCCCAGAATCATTTGGCTCCACTTTTAGTCTTTTATCGCTATTTTGATCTTCATTTTCTCTTTCTTTTCTCTTTTCGCCTGGAACTGTATTACTATTATTATTGTTGTTACTATTATTACCATTAGTTGTTTGTTGTGGTGGTGGTTGTTGTGGAGGTTGTGGTGGCTGTTCACTATGAGGATAACCACCTGATGGAGGAGCGGATATTGGATGGGGATATAGGTCATTACCGTTGGTAGTATTAATGTTTGTTGGTGGTTGAGTTGGTGGATTTGGTGATGTTAAAATTGGTTGTTGGTGTTGTGGTGGTAATGGACTCATTCCACTTGAAATTGGTTGTTGTTGTGTTGGTAATGGACTCATTCCACTAGAAATTGGAGGTGGGTAATAGTCAATTGGATGTGGTGGTTGACCATTTTCTGGAGGTGGTGGATAATGAGATCTATTAAAATCACCATTACGATCTGGGGGTGCTCTTGAATAATCTGGTGATTTAGAATGTCTGCCTCCATAATCTCTATCTCTGTCGTTGTATCTACGATCACGGTCATAAGAATCACGTCTGCCGCCATAGCCTCTATCTCTGTCGTATCTATCATTGTATCTGTCATAACCTCTATCTCTGTCGTTGTATCTGTCGTAGCCTCTGCCTCTTCCATAATCTCTGTCTCTATCATTATATCTTTCTTGATCTCTTCCACCTCCACCTCTTTCATATCTTCCTCTTGGGCTTGGACTTCTGCTTCTTCTATCACCAAATAGTTTAATCTGTAGCGATTTAGATGGTGTATGAAGATGCATAAAATTACAATATCCACCACGATTACATGCTCCAATATCATATTGCCTGCATCTTGCTTCTGTAAAATCAGTCACTGGTGAAAACTCTGCAATAATTGGTCTACCTATAAGTTTTTTAAAAAAAAAAAATAATTAATAACACTAATTTAATTTAAGAATTTAAAGGATTTGAATTTTTATATTTACCATCATAAAATCTTCCTTTTAAACCTTTAATTGATTCATTGGCTTCGTCTTCTCTGGCATATTTTACATAGACATTACCAACCAAATGATCACCTAGATTTGCACAAACATTTAATAAATCAACTTGACCATACTTTGTTAAACCTTCAAAAATATCTTCATAAAACTCATCAAAATGTTGCTGAAGTTCTACCTCTGTAAGATTTGGTGCTACACCTCCATTTTGTTCTATTGCCTTCTTTGAAATTGGGCTTTGATATAAATTTGGTAATAATATCGTTTGACTTATAACTGGCTTATTGTGTAATCTTGAGCATCTATCACCGTGTCTACAGGCTCCAATTTTTAAATAAAATGGACAATTTTGTCTTTTTTTTAAAAAAATAGTTATTAATAATTTTATAAAAAGAAAAAATTAAATTAAAAAAAAAAGGATTGTGAATAATTTTTAGAGAAAGAGGGAAAGAAAGGGGTAAAGAAAATTAAAAAAAAAAAAAAAAATAAATATACATTAGTCTTTTATATTTTTTACCTTATAATTATATATATTATTTATTATGCTAAAAAAAAAAAGCTAAAATATTTTTCTATATAAGGTGCTAAATGCTATATTTTAAATATTATTATTACTATTGTTATTATTGTTTTATTGGTTTTTTTTTGTTTTATCGTTAAAGGTCTAAAATTTTTTTTCTTTTAATTTAATACTAAAAAAACTAAAAACTAAAATAAACTAAAAACTAAAAAACTAAAATATTTGCTAAAGACCTTTCTTTTTAAAAAAATATTAACAATTATCGTTTAAAATTTTCTTTAGATATTATGATTAAAAACAATAAAATAAAATAAAAAAGATTATAGATTATATATAAATAAAAATAAAAAAGATATGAATATATATAATAAAAAAAAAAAAAAATGAACATTTACTAATAAAATGAAAAAAGTAACTATAATGAATAAATTAAACGAATAAAAATTATAAAAAAAAACCTGGAACTATCTATATCTATTTATATAAAGATGTATATTATTTAACTATTTAATAATATATACTTACTGATCTTTTTCAGTACCAAAAATAGCGGCTCTTCTTTCTGCCATTAGTAATTACAATATAATTTATTTTTAAAAAATAAATTATATGATATGTTTTGATATTTAATAAAAAAAAATAATAATTAAAAAAAAAAAATTTTAAAATAAAATTAAAAAATTTAAAAAAAAAAAAAAATTAAAAAAAAAATTAAAAAAATAAAAAAAATTAAAAAAATAAAAAAAAAATAAAATTTAAAAAAATAAATAAATAATTTACTTATTACATACTATATAGCTTATTTAAAGAAGCTTATTTTATTATTTTTTTTATTTTTTTTTTCTAATAATTTTTTTAAATTTGTTTATAAGATGATCACAATCGTCCTCTTTTTTTAAAATAATTAATATTATTAGGACGATTAAAGTGTGGTTATTTTTGTGGGTTAAATATTATTATATAAAAAAATAGGTTTCTTTTTTTGTCTATTTGAATATGACAATAAGAGTTATAAATAAAACGATTGTATAATTTGTTCATAGTTGCGTGTATGGAAATATTTCAAATTAAATTTATCGAGGAATCACAAAAAAATAAAATTTACTGTTTGATCTTCATTGCAAGAAATCTATAAAAGGAAATTTTCTAAAAAAAATAAAAAAATATATTTGTTGACTAAAATAACACTGTTTTATTTTTTTAAAATATATATTTTTTTTTTGTTAAAGTGTATCATCACTATTATTTTTAAAATTATAATTATTATTATTTAAAAAATTATTATCTTCATCATCATCATCATCAATATCATAATTTTCGCCACTACTTTTAATTGAAAATATATCTTCTTTTCTGGCTGATGGCTTTGAAAGGTCTTCGATTTGACTATATTTGAATTTTGGTGAGAGTGAAGAAAAAACTTTGAAAACTGGTGGCTTCTTTCCAAGCTTTTCATAGTATTTAAAGTAATTGTAGATTAAGAAACCAATAATCGTTATTACCATACCTATTATATTTACAGTTGTGAATTCGGTATTGGTTTTAAAAACGAAAAAGGAAACTATAATGAGCAATATTACTTTGATATTACCTATAATGACATAATAAAGTGCCGATGTATATTCCACAATATAAAAATGACTAAGATTATAAAAACATGCGGCTATCGCTAATAGTATTACTATTATGGTTGGTTCTGTTGCGCTACCTGTATATGAATGTACTGTATAATAAAATAATGATTAGAATAATATGCTAAATAATAATAATATTAATAAACAATTATACGTACATTCTTTATATTCACCAGTAATAAAGAATAAAATTAAACAGGTTATTGCTGAAGGAAAAGATGTAGTAACAACAATTGACAATGTATTTAATTTCGGATCTTTTAATAGTTTGGCAATCAATAAAGTTTGAACCGCAGCAAAAATGATGGACCCTAAAGCATATAGGGATGGTGTAATTTTAAAGTCTGGGTTATGATATACTGATAAAGAGACGCCTAAAATGAGAATTAAAGTTGATAATATAATTTGAATGGAATAGGTTTCCCTGTAAAGGATATAACCTATGAGGATAATAAAAACTGGACCTGTAGATTTGATAATTTGATTTAAAGAGATTGATAAACCAGCAATACTATAATTCTCAAGAACATAGGTAAATGCTTGAAATACGGATACTAAAAACAATAGTAATTTATGTTGTTTTAATGCTTCGACAGGGAACTCTGATATCTTAAATATGAAAACCGCTGTAAAACTACCCAGAAATGTAGCAAAGGTACCAGTTAAAATAATTAATACTGGATACTGAAAATTCGGTTGTAAATAATTATCTAAATATTTGTTTCCAAAGAACAAACCCATATTAAGTGTTATCCATACTATAACCCATATTGTCGATATTATTAAATGCGATTTTTTTTTCTCTATTATATTATTACTATTATTTTGATTATTCGTTTCATTTATATTTAACTTTACTTTCTTTTCACCCATACTACTATTGCTGCCATTATTGTTATTGCTATTATTAATACTACTATTACTAATATTTTCTATTAATGGTGATACTGGATCATCATTCGTATTATTATTATTATTATTATTACTATTACTATTACTATTAATATTATTATTACCACTACCTCCACCTACTTCTTCGTCTACTACACTATAGTCATGGTTAATTCTATGCATAGGATCTTTATTCTTTTTTATTAGCTTTGGAATTTTATTTCTTAAGAATACAATATATATTGTTTCCTTTTCAGTTATTTTAAATAAAAAATTTTAAAAAATTTTAAAATAATTTAAAAAAATAAAAATTAAAAAAATAAATTTAAAAAAATAAAAAAAATAAAATTTATAAAATAAATAAATTAATAAAATTATTAGATATTGTTTTAATTAAAAAAATATAAAAATTTTAGTTTATTTTTATATTTTTATTGTGTTTATTTCTGTATTATATGTATATGTTTTTAGTATTAAAAAAAAAAAAAATTGTTTAATTTTTTAATTTTTAAAAAAACCAGGGAAAATAGGGTTAATAATATCACCTTTTTGCCAAAAAAAAAAAAAAAAAGGGTTATTTTCGTCAAAATTATATTAATAAAAAATAAATGTTTTTATTACTATTATTTATTATTTTGTATATTATTATTATTGGTATTTGGATTTTTCTTATCATGAGAATTAAAATCAAGAGAAAATACTATTTGAAGAGAGAAATTGACTAAAGATTAAAACTTGTTTAAAGATGACATAGAACCCTGCAATCTAATCATACAAATTTTGAAATGTGGTTTCTGTGAAATTTGAAGAAATTCATATATATTTAATTTATATTAAATAATTATATTGTATTTTTATGATCAAATAAAAGTTGCGAAATTAAACAAGAAAAATACGAATTTAGACATAGTAAATTGAAAAATAAAAAATTGTTTATTTACCAATAAAAAACACCCATAAAATAATTATTTTGTGGACCAAACTATTTTTATTGGTTTTTTTTCTTTGAATTGAATAAATTTTTAAAACTTAATACAAATATTTAATATAATAAAAAAAAAAGATTTTTTTTTAATTTATTTTTTTAATTTTTTTTCTTTTTTTTAAAAAATAATTTTTTTTCTATTATGATAAAATTTTTTTTAAAAATTTTTTTTAAAATTTTTTTTCAATATAATAACTAAATATCATTTTTTGTATTTATTAATCAAATAAATAGCATAAATAACAATGTCAAGTACCAACAGTAATATTAAACTCCAACCATGGGGAGAATTTGCAGATTTTAACAGATTTGGTGTTCCAGGAAATCAAATCAAAGAAAGAATTGAAGACAATTTAAACTTTTATTCTGGTAATTACTTATTCATTGTTGGTGCAGTTATTTTATTAAATTTGTAAATATAAAGAAAAAAACAAAACAAAAAACAGGCAAATCACACATAATATTAAACAACCATTCTTTATTTTTTATTTCTTTTTTAATATAACAAGATTTATGAACATTAATCTTTTAGTTGCAGTTGGTATTTTAACTGCTATTGCTTATTTCTTATTCGTCGTTCAATCTGGAAGTAAAAAAGTAGGCTCCTTTGTTGTTACTCCAATCATTCAAATGGTTATTTTTGGTGTTAGTAAGTAGTTATATAATTAATAATTTGAATCGATTTTCAAAACAACAATCCACTCATTACATACAATATCATAAATACATTTTTACAATTATAATTATTTACTAATCATTTTATTGTCAAAATTATAGTCTCAGTTATTGTCATCTACAAAATTAGTGGTTTAACTTTATTATATTCAATTTTATTTGCATTAGTTTTCGTTTTAGCTCATGGTGCCTTCAGAATGAGAAACCTCAAAAATAAAGCCTCCAACTTTGTTAATGGTATCAAAAGTGAAATAAAAGGTGAATTCAATTAAAAATTCAAAATCCAAAAATCAAAATTCAAAATATTGACAATCATAAACAACAATAATAATAAAACAAATCAAAAAAAAAAAAAAAAAAAAATCAATATTTTAGCACTTGTATTAAATAACCTTCATTATCCAACTTATATATATTCTATTTTTCATTTATCCATTCTATATACATATATTTTTAATAGTAAATAAATAATTTATTTGTATTATATCATCAAAAAATTTCCAAAAAAAAAACTTAATTTTTTTCTATTATTAAAATTTATTATAAAAGTTAATAACTTTATATTATTGTTTTTAAATTTATAAATTAAATTATTAAAGAAATTATTTAGAAGTAGTCATAAAAAGATTTTTTTATAAAAAACACACAATAATATTTAATTATTTTTTAAAATTTTTTATATTTTTTAATTATTTTTTTTTAATTTTTTATTTTTTTTTAGTTTTTTTTAAAATTTTTGTTGCTATGTCATGACAACAAACTTTTTTTTTATTATTTTATCGAAAAACCAAAGTTTTAAAAGCGAGCAAAAATAAATTTAACTCAAGGTTTAAGTTTATTTTATACTCACCAAAAATCAAACTCGTGTCAATTAAGTATTTTATTAGTATATAAATAAAATATTTTTTTAAACACAAATTCAATAAAAATGGGTAAAGAGAGTAAAGTTGAATACAAAGACTTTGAACAAAGTAAGTAAATATCCTTAATTATACACACAAAGATTATTTATTAACTAAATCCATATTATTAAGTAAAAAAAAGAATCGGAGATTTAGAAAAAAGAATTGAGGAAAGAAAAAATGTTAAGCTTTTTCGTAAACCAATAAAAACAATCAAATACTTTGTATATATATTATGGGAACAGTTTGTTAAAGCAATTAAATATTTTCAATGTAGACCATATTTATTATTCTTTATTAGTTTAGTAGCATCATTTACATTATTATCTGTCTACATGCCAGGCGAACATCAAAAGGTAGGATAAATATTTAGTTTATTATTGTTATTTTATCATTAAAATATTCAGTGTTTCTAATAATAAAAATCAAATTTCGATTTCTTTTTTTTTTTTTTTAAAATTTTTAAAAATTTTTTTTTAAAAAATAATATAGTATATGGGCAAATATTCAGATTTAATTTCAATTGGTATTTGGTGGGTAGGATTAGGTGTATTGTCATCAATTGGTTTAGGTACTGGTTTACATACATTTGTATTGTATTTAGGACCACATATTGCAAAAGTAACTTTAGCAGCAACTGAATGGAACAGCGTCGATTTTAATGTTTATGGTCCAAATGCATTCATTCAACCAACAAGTGTCAGCGACGAAGCTATTACTTTTTGGATGATTTTACAAAAGGTTCAATGGGCAGCTTTATTATGGGGTGCTGGTACAGCAATTGGTGAGTTACCACCATATTTTGTTGCTCGTACTGCTCGTTTAAAGGGTTTAAAATTAGAGAAAGAAAAGAAATCAAAAGAAGAAAATAATTTAGAAAAAAAAGAGGAAGAAAATAAAGGTTTACTTCAAAAATTATCAGATAAAATTCCAGCATTAATCGGAAACCTTGGTTTCTTTGGTATTTTAGCTTTTGCTTCAGTAATTATCATTCAATTCAAATTATATATTGGAAATTAAAAGTTATAATAGTGTGTATTGATATTAAAATTATTTTTAAATTTTTAGATTCCAAATCCATTATTCGATTTAGCAGGTATTACTTGTGGTCATTTCCTTGTACCATTTTGGAAATTCTTTGGTGCTACCTTTATTGGTAAAGCAGTCATTAAAGCCCACATTCAAGCATGTTTTGTAATTTTAGCTTTCAATATGTCCACTCTTACAATGGTTATCAGTTTTATTGAAGCCAAAATCCCATTTTTAAAAAATAAAATACAACCAATTTTAGAAAAAGAAAGACAAAAGTTAAATTCAAACATTGCATCAAATGCACCAGTAAGTAAAAGATATATTGTTTATAAATATAGTTATCAAATTTTATTAATACACCATTTTTTTTCTTTTATATTTTATAGAAAAGTTTTGTTGGAATTTTATGGGATGGATTTTTATTCTTAATGATTTCATACTTTATCATCTCAATTGTTGAATCAAGCGTTCAAGAATATCTTATCGAAAAAGATAATAAAAAAATTAAACAATTACAATCAAACAAACATTTTGCAAATAATGAAAATATAAAACCCAAAGAAACAAAGAAAACTAAATAAAAAAAGTTAGTTTATATAAAATAAAATAAAAACAAAGTCAACAAAAAAATCAAATAATAAATACAAAAACAAGTAAAAAATGTTATTAATAGTAATATTATAAAATTAAAGAAATAAAAAAATTCAGAATAACAAAAACATTATTGTTTTTTTTTTTTTAAAATTACTATACATTTTATTTACCAATCACTTTTTTTTTTTTTTTTTCTTTTATCTATAAAGATGGTAAAAATACTGTTAAACTATCAATTTTTGATAATTGATCAGGTTCAAACTTGTCAAATTTGGAAAAACTGAAGTTTAAAACTTTTAAACGTTTGATTAAAGCATCATCTTTGAGAATCGATTCAATTAGAGACCAGGTAAGACTATCTTGATGTGAAAGATCTAGTTCCTTTAAATTTGGAGAAGAGTCTAATATTTTTCTAATGATTGGTTCCTTGAATTGACAGCCAGCGATTAAAAGATTTTGGATATTTCCTAGATACTTGAAAACTTTAGAATCTAAAGTTGAGATGGCATTGGTACAATGGCTAATGTCGAGAGTGGTTAAACGTTTAGCTTCGCTTAGAATTTTAATGAGTTGTGCTTCACCAATTGCAGAGGAGGCAATATGGAGGGTTTGAAGCTTTGGACAGTTTTTGGCAATTTTACTATAACAACCATCACCTGACTGAAGATCGAAACACCATGAGCAGTTTAAATATATAAGAGTTGGGAATGATATGAGTTTCATGGCAGAGTTTGTTAGTTTTCTACAATGGGATACATCTAAATGGGTAAGCGATGTCATTTTTAATAATGATTTGATACCAGTTTCTGTAATTAAATTGCAACCACCAATTAATAGTCTTTTTAATCCGGGGAATGTGGTTGTAATGGTTTGTAAAGTTGTGTCATTGATGTTGGTGAAATAGAGGTTCAATGATTCTAATGGAATACTTTTATTTAAATGTTTTATAAAATCTGCTGAAATACCTGTACAAAATGAAAGATTTAAATGCTTTAGGTGTTTATATCCCGATATTAAGTGTACACTGAGATCTGTAATTCTGAGTAGCCCTGATAAATCAATTGACTGGATATTTGATAAGTCAATATTTGTGTGATTTGATATTTTTCTTGGGATTGTTGGAAGACTATTATTTATTAAATTGTTATTATTATTATTTATAATTAAATTATTATTATTGTTATTATTGATATTATTAATATTACTGGTTATATCATTATTTATATCAATTTCTTTTTCAATATTATTTATTGTGTTATTGTCGTTTGATATATTTGAACTAATTGTACTTCCAGTTGTTGTAGATGATGCGGTATCTAGATCCATTGAATCGTCATTTTCACTTCCACTATTAAAACTATTGTTATTATTAATATTATTATTAAAGCCACTGTTACTGTGAAATAAATTTGAGATTATAAAAATATCCCCAAAAATGTTAAAGAAATGGTCATCTACAAGGTTTTTTCTTTTTGCCATGCCAATAAACTCTTCTCTAATATCAGAGATTTCATAAATTTGTGCTACTTTTTTACCTGGTATTTTTTCATGGTTTCTTAATAAATATTGAAAACATAATTGCTTTAATGTTTGAATTTCTCTTTCTGGGGGCATTGTTATTTATTATAAAAAGTGGTTTGTTTTATAAAAAATATATAAAGATTATAAAATATTGTGTAAATTTAAAAAATATGATTAAATTAATTTTTAAAAAAATAAAAAAAAAATATAAAAAATTTAATTTTTTTTTTAAATTAAAATTAAAAAAAAAAAAAAAGAAAAAAATATAAAAAAAATAAATAAAAAATAAAAAACACACAAGGTTATTTTTGGTGTGTGTAAAATGTTTTATTTTTTTTTTTTCTAAAATTCATAACAAGACCCAAAAGAGCCTTTTTGTATAAAATCATTTATTATTAAATTTTTCAAATAAAAAAATATTTATATTAAAAAATATTTTTTTATATAAATATATAATAGAATAAATAATAGGATGGTAATAGAAGTTACTACCACAAATGTTTAAATTTATTTATGGGTAATTATTAAAATCAAAAATATTCACTTTATAATAAAATTAACATAAAACTCCTTTTTCATTCCTTTTTCGAAAATTTATACAAATGATAGTGCTCTTAGCTCTTCTGAAATGAAGCAACACAATATTTTTTAATTAATTTAAAATTAATTTAATTTAAAGAAAGAATTTATTTGAAATCCACATGCACCACTCAAATTACAAACGCAATAAAGTAATCAAGTAAAGAAATATAGTTGTTTTAACTGACTAATCATTATCTACTATGAGGAAATGTCCTTTTTTAGAAAAAATAAATATTTTTAAATATTTTTTTAAATTATTTTAAAATTATTTTATTTTTTTTTATTTTTTTATTTTTTTTTTAACTTTATTTTTTTTATTTATTTAATTATTTAATTATTTATTTATTTTATTTTAACTTTTTTGGTTTAATTAATTAATAAATATTTGTTATAATAAATAAAATAATTATAGTTTTTTTATTTTTTTTATTTTTTTTATTTATAAATTTATTTATTAATATTTATTATTTATTTTTAGTACATCCAATTAATCTCATTTTTTTTTACACTTTTATATTCAGTACTGACTAATAATAGTAATAAAACCACAACAACACATAATAGTAATAGTTTGTTAATCATTATCACTATATCTATAACTTAAAAATAATTTTTTCCACAACTACCACACACAAACAAATAAATAATTGTATATATTTATATAATTTTTATATATTGATATCAAAATCTTATTATATATAGCATTAAATTTTAATATTGCTTTAATAAAACTAAATAAAAAACAAAAATTTATAATACCAACACCACACAAATTGTTTCTTTTTTACGTATTGGTTTTTTTTTCAATACTAAAAAAAACTTTATAAATAAACAATTCCAGCTGTTTTTTTATTGTTATAAATGTCGTTTTATTGTTGTGTAGTTTAATAGTTTTTTTTATATTATATATTAAAAAATATAAATGATTTAATATGTAGTAGTATTTTATTTATAATTTATTTAAATAAAAAAAACCGATGTTAATAGTAGTTTCAAAATAAATTTAGATTGTATTTTTTATTAGTATGAGTGGTTACTCATTTTTTTTGTATTTCAGATTTAAATTATCTCTTATAACACATTTTTTTTTAAATATAAATTTTATTCACAGCATCTCAAAATTATAAATTACAACATTTTTTTTTTTTTCATTTATAATTTTAAAAAAGAGAACAATAAATAATAATTTTATATCATTTTCAATAGTAAAAATAGTAAAAATATTAGTAATATTAATATCAGTAGTAATAGTAAATAATTTGTATTCAAACCCATATAATAAAGAAACTTTTTTTTTTTTTTTCTCAATAATAATAAAAAAGTTTTTATTTTTTTTCAATATTAATAAAAATCTTTAGATTAAATTAAATAAAATTTTATAATAATAATAGAAGTAAAAGTAATAATGAAATTATAATATTTATTATAAAAATAAAAAGGCAAATATATTTTTTAAAATGGAACGGATAATAAAAATAATTTTTTAATTAATAAAACCAAAATAAATATTAATAAGTGTGGTGAGTCTACCCCAAAACAAAACAATGAGTGATCATTAAAGGAGAGGTATCCATCACTCCATCCACTATTTTTCAAACACAGTGGATTTACTTGGTAAAAAG